CATTGATGTGTTAGACGATGGGGGTTGCAGGACGGGGATCGCCCTTTGTGCGTTGCAGGGCCACCACCAGTACATGGTCCCATCTCATAAAGTGCCACCACTGATCTCCGAAACCCTAAACAAATGCAGGGAAAGTTCAGATCCAACCGCAAGCAAGTAACTCAGCTTTTGGAGATGTGCACCAGGATTGCAATTACTCTCTTCTCTCCCTTAATGATCTTCCAGGAGCTGATTACTGCCTGGTATATTGGCTTCCTGTGCCTCATCCTGGCCTCTTTCCTGGTGTACTTGGCCGAGAAAGGAGAAAATGAGCACTTTGATACATACGCAGATGCACTCTGGTGGGGTCTGGTAAGTCATTTTCGTAGAGCAGCTGCTGGTTATTAAAATGTCCATTAACCCTCCATCTTCTCTCGCTAACGTGAGGAATCGACCAATGGAGTGCTTCGTTAACTTTTTTATTAAATGGCTTCAGGCGACTCGATTTAGCAATTTTTCTTAAATCCTAGAAAATGTTAATTTCTTGAATTAACTGGAGCTGCAAAGAAACTGGGAACCCGTGTGCTCTCAGTCGTGGGGGTTAGCTCTGTCGTGACAGTAGAGGCGGGTCAGATGGAGACCCCACACCACGGGGTGCTTTGATCATTGTTTTGGCAAATATTGTCGCCTTTTAATGATTTAAAATAGTACTTGTGCAACGTGCTGTTCAACATACTGGGATAAATTCTATACAATCTATAGGGTCTCGGTAGCGAAGGGCTTCAGCACTGAGCACACTCCCCATTCCCATCTTTGCTGACGGAGGAGGAAAGGGCGACGCTCGGAGTGTGCTCTGTGTGCGCGTGTGCAATTATTGGATTAGCCGATTAACAAAGAGAATTAATGACGTTCTAATCTTCTTGTGTTATTGTTCTTCGGCTCCGACACTGTGGCACTAGTTTGGCCCTGATTACAGAGCACGTAATGAAAATCCCAGATCTGATCAAATCCCAGAAAGAGACTTGAGGAGGAATCGGCTGATCAAGCAGCTCCTCTGCCAACAAAGGGAAAGAAGCCGTAAATTGCTTTTCAAGCCCCTTGGTTATGACAGAAAATAAAAACAAAGCCCAATTTGACATAACTAGAATATAAACAATGAGGAAAAAGTGACAGTCTGGCTCAGAGCTCAGTGTCGGGAGAACCACGGGAGATTTCTCCCTCCTGCTCCCCAGGCTGTGCGAGCCTTTGGCAGAGGATCGTCTCCTCCTGTTCCAGGACCTGGAGCGGCACCAGACTGTTTTGCCACTGAGATGCTCAGAATAAAATTTGAGCTTCATTAAAAGAAACAGATGTTGTTATTGTCCGACTCACAGATCCAGTACAGATGTTAAGAGATGGGCAAAATAAATCAACTTTCAGGCTCAGAAGCTCATCCCTCGGTCTGATCTTAGTGGATCCAGTCTTTGTAGTTTTCTACATAAATTATAAAAAAATTTGTAAGCCAGCTGTGCAGTGGTTGTGAAGAGAGCATTGCTTCGACTGTGTGTTTCAGTAAGAATGAGCCATGTAGATGCATTTTCTAACCACTTTGTCCAAATGGCGTCTAATTGATAGGGCTTTTAGTGGGGCCAATTAAACAGCGCGTTGGGATCGTGCTTCCATTTGTGTAAAAGTGATTTTATTCTGAGCGTGTGAGGTTTCCAAAGCCACATCAGCACGGTGTTGGCCCCTGTCCCTGGGGCCAGCTCTGCCTGTGGAGGCAATGGGACGGGGACAGCCTTCCACTGGGCACGGGGACCTTTTTGGTCCATTGGGCAGAAATCTCAAAGATGTTCCTAATCCAACCATCTCTCCCTGACAGTCCCAGGCTCTCCAAATCCTTTCTCAAACCTCAGGGGATAACCAACATTTCTTCCCACCCGTGATGCCCATGGACTGAAGTGGGCAAAGGCACCTTTTCCTGCAGTTTGAGGTTCAGGGGATTCTTTGTCTCCAACAAATCTCAGCTCCTTCCCCCAAACGCACACAGCAGCTTGCTGGTGCTCTCCTGATGCATTGCAATGATACTGAGGAGGGGAAAAAGCATCCCTAAATTAGGATGTATGAAGCAGTCATCATTCATCCTATTGGGCTAATATTCTGTTTTTAAATAGGAAAGGAGACTGGCTAATAGGCACTGCTGGGAAGATTAGGAATAAACAGCAGGAGATCTTTATGCATGCAGATAGCCCTGCCTTTTCTCGGGAGGTGCCGAGAGGGGGTTTGGGGGAGCTGGTGCGGGTTCGCTTCCCCTGCCGAAAGCACAACCCCATCTCCCGGGGGAGGCTCCGAGCTGCCGCAAGCCTCTGCACCAGATGGCAGCAATCTCTGTGTCAGCTAAAGGCAAGAAGATGCTCCCGAGTGGTGTGAAAACTCAGTGCGTCGAGCAGGGAGGGCGGCAGGGCATCGCTGCGTCCCTTGGAGATGTCCCAAGCAGCCGAGGTCCTCCCGAGTGCCACCCGCTCGGTCCCCCATGTCCCACCCCAGCGTTGCGGGAGTTTTGGCTGTGTTGTTTCATTGTTTGAGTTTTTCAGGCAGTGTGCTGATCTCCTCCCTGCAGATCACTCTCACCACCATCGGCTACGGGGACAAGTACCCGCAGACCTGGAACGGGCGGTTGCTGGCGGGTAACCTTACCCCCT